CTCCCAGAATTCCCCAGCCAGCCATGCTGGCTGGGGAATTCTGGGAGTTGAGGTCCACTCATCTTAAAGATGCCAAGGTTGAAAAATACTGGTGTATCTGCTCCACTTTTACCTACTAAAACTCAACTGCAGAAGGTACATTAGGTTTTATCCACAGGTCTGAAAATCTCTCCTCTCTACCCCCACCACAAAACACACTTTTTCCTCCAGTTTAGGGTTGCTTTCAGTTATACGTACATCAAAGCACACAGAGATATTTTCAGATTCTGGAAAGTTCAGGGTTTTAACTTCCAGTTTTTAATCCAGCAGCAGAATGAATCAGAATTCATGAGGAATCCATTTGAGGTCTCAAGGACAAGACCATATTTTTGCAGCCCAAGTTGTATGATCCAAGCAACTGATGGGAAAAAAATGTTCTTGAATGTTTGGTGAGTAATCCTGGAGGACAGGCACGTTTATGCGTGCGTGCGCGTGCACACACACACACAATCTGCTGGATGAAGTGTGAAGCTCTGAATGGCAAAACATGGACAATTTGCAGCTTATCTTGGCCCATGGCTTTTCCAGACTGAATTTGGGGTCAATATGCTTTCAGAAAAACTGACGCAAAGAAACTGATTTGTCAGTCTGGTGGTCTACTTTGTATAAGGCTTTGCAGAGCAAAAACAATTATTTATGGTACAAATAAAGGTATTTCGGAAATCTCCCTCCTTCGATACAGTAAATGGGAGATCTGTATATTTAAATACACTCATCAAAACGAAGCAAAAACAGATGCCCAGAAGAAGGTTGCAAAGGTCTCAAGACAAAACCAGACCCCTGAATGAGACACCCCCCCTTCTCAAAAACAGGAATGGATTTATTCTTTTCTGACTATTTATCCATCTCATCAAAATAAGTTTCTCTGAGTGAGAGAAGCTATTCCAGCAAAGAGAGATTGCTTTCTCATCACTGGCCACCTTACTCTTCCCACTGAAAATACTACACAATTAAGCTTGGAAATTCTCTGGGCAAAGTGGAGACTCCGCTGCAGAATTGTGATTCTCTCTCTCTCTCTCTCTCTCTCTCTCAAGCAATGTTTCTCAACCTCAGCAACTTTCGGATGCGGGCTGAGGAATTCTGGGAGTTGAAGTCCACGCATCTTAAAGTTGCTGAAGTTGAGAAATTCTGCTCTAAAGGCAAGGGATGTCTAAGGGAGATTGCTAGATGATTTTCATTTGATTGGCCAGGAGGGGTTTTTCTCTTACTACAGTTATTTCAGAGCTCAAGAACCTCCAGACATGGAAGCCCCATGTCCCCTCTCAGACTGGAAGCCAGTGCTTACGTACATAACGAAGAGGGCAGTGGGGCTAAGGTAGGTCAGGACAATGAAACACACATTAGAGATACTGTAAATGGGTGGGAAGGATCCCTTAAACATTACAAGAAAAGCAACAGCTTGGCATGAGTCAGCCTTACCAGTCTTTTCTGAGGCTTGATGAGAGGCCGGTTGATACCATTCATTTTATGATAGAGGCCACAGGCATTGCATAGGTAATGCCCTGTGCCATCTTTCCTCCATAGCGGGGTGGACATGGCCCCACAGTTAACACACTCTCGGCCATCACCGGGGAATTCCTCCAAGAACTCTGAAATGAGGGGAAAACAAGAGAATTGTGAGAACTGATCCCTGGGTAGCATCATGGCAGCTCTTCAAGGAAGACCAGAATAGAAAACCAAGATTATGAATGTTAATACTGCTTATAAGGTTACAGTAACAGAATCTTGCAAGTCTGAATGTGCTTCCTCCTCCCTCCCTTTATCTTCCTGTGAACTAGGGAGGGGCTTGTCTGAGACGCTTCCTCAGGTTACAGTTCTGCCCTGGACTCAAATTTCTTTTATCTGACTATTGCCTTGGTTGCAGCTCTTCCTCCTGTTTCTCAAGGTTATTCCTTCTTCCCATTATACATCAAGACACACCTGACAAGGTTCTAGAAAGAGTTAAATGGGGCTTCCCAAGATGGGTCCTGGCTTAGTATAAAGAAATGGGAATGACAGAGAGCAAAAGAACAATGGGACATGTCTGGCAAATAACTCTGGTATTATTAAAATGACAAAATGCTAAAGCAGGTCAACGCTTTCCAAACAGTTTCCATCTTGTTTTTTAAATTTTCTCTAAACCACTTTAGGAGTGTGGCAGGCTGAAGAGTAGGTCATAAATGCATGGAATTAACACAATCCATGGAAGAGGAGTATTTCTGATTGCTCTCCGCCCCCCCCCCCGCCATTTTAAATTGAAAGCATGTTCCAATTGTTGTTCAGGATAGCTTTTTCATCACTTTTTAGCACCAGATCTCACAGTCACAAGGTTCAAAGCGAATTATTATTATTATTTTTCTAGATCACTCGTACATGACTTCACATTTCCGAGCTAGATAATGGACGCTTCACTCATTCAAAAGTTAGTTTCTTAGCAGAATCAGGAACATGTTGTAGGTCACAAGGGAACACAGGAGGACATCCAAGTAACTGTAATGGTGGGCTATGGGCTGTGGACAGATGGCGATGAGGAAGAGGAAGAGACAGAGAAGGTTTTGCCTGTTGACACGGAAGGGGGCCCCCAGCAGAATAGGCATCTGGGGGATGCGTTCCCTGAGTAGCCCATAATCTAAGACCAATGCTCTACTGACCCTGTACATCAATTGAACACAACATAGTTCTCCACCTGATGGACTCAAAAGAAGGACAACGTGATATCAGAGCATTTCAACCTTGCGGGTCATTCTGTGGTAGACCTCAAAGTGACCATCTAGGAAAACGGAGACTTTACCAGCATCACTGAGTGAGGGATGACTGAACTCACATACATCAAAAGGTTTCAGACCATCTAAGGAGGCCTCAGAATGGGTTTTTAACACGTTATAATTGTTCACTGAGAAGGTACTGACAAATCTGTCTGATGTGCTGCCTGCACCTGCGTAACCAACATGTCTTCCCCTCCCTTCCCAGCTGAAATTCAAGTCCTACATCAGTCTAGCCACTCTACGGATCTGATGAAGTGAGCTTTGGCTCATGAAAGCTTCTGCCTTTTAATAAAATGTGTTAATTGGAAAAGATGCTACCAGATTCCTCCTGATGTTTTGCTATAATAGCAAATAACAATAACAAGGTTTTCCTACAACGCCCATTGGATGGCTGTGTACCACATGCTTAACTTAGTTAACGTAGGTTCTCTGGGGCTTGGCGTGTGGTGTCTGCCTAGCCCATCTGCTTGGTGATTCAATGTGTTCTGTAAATGCAGACAGTATGCTAGTTTAATTTGATATCCAGATTAAGTGTATGAATATAGCCAGTGAGATGACTAACATATGCACGCCTGTCTGTAGCTGAGCTCCAGTAAGCCAGCTTTCCCTCCCCTAAAGCCGTGAAATCTGTTGTACTACAACTGGCATCAGCTTCTGCTGACATCAAAGCTGTACTCCCATACAACACATTTGGAGGGCACCAAATACTGCTATAGGGTTAAAAAAAGGGGGGGTAGAAAACTGCAGAAGACCTAGTAAGAAACATAGGATCAACATTTATGTTGCATAGGGGAAGAGCACAGAAGCTAAAAGAGGAATGGTTATTAGCACATCTGATGTCCATCCTGGGTCACTCTGGAGATGTGAGGACTTCAGGTCCCAAATTTCTCTGCAACAGCCATTCCAAGTGGGAAATCTTGGGAGCTGAACCCATCTATCTGAAAGGAACACAGGTTGGAAAATAACACATTACCCCAGGGTTTCCCAACCGTGGCAACTTTCAGATGGGTGGACTTCAACTCCCAGAATTCCCCAGCCAGCCAGCTTGAAATCTACTCATTTCTCTTGCTCAGTGTATGTATGGAGCAGTGCTGCATGTCAGAAGAAAAAGCATGGATGACTGCTAAAAAAAATGGCCGCCATCTTGGCCTTGAGGAAAAGCAACCTGTGAAATCCACTCAGAGACAATCGAAAAGATATATAACAGTGTGCAAGCTTTTGCATTTCTAGAACTTTTTTTTAGGGAAGCTGGCAAATCTCCAAATGAAGAAAAGCATCAATATGAGTGGTGGTCAATCCACGTTTGCAACGGTTGCAAGCTTTGGAATGTGGGTGTAAACTGCAGACATGCACATGGGCTACTCTCAGTAAAGAATTTAATTTGGCTGCCTGCAGGATTCTCCCCCCACAAAACCCAACCAGAACGACAGGCAAAGCTTTCTTCTTCTCCTTCCCCAAAAGTTTGGAGTATGCACCAATGCAAGTGAACATCATCGATGCCTCCAGCAAGACTGACTGTGAATGTCCTCAGTCTAAAGGTAGACCATAGCTAAAGCCAGCCTAAAATCCCCTAGACCAGCAGTTCTCAAACACTTTGGTCTCAGGACCCTTTCACATTCTTAAAAATGATTGAAGACCCCAAACAGCTTTGGTTTATATGGATTATATTTATCGATATTTGGTGATGATGTGACCTAGTTGGATTATGAAATGTCTGCAAGCAACCAAGCTCAGAGAGCACCAAGGACTCCACAATTCAAACCAGAGCTACACACATTCTATCAATATTGACTGTATTAGAACTGAAAAAAAATCAAATATTTATTTGTTTGACTTTGTGGACCCCCTGAAAGGGGCTCAGGGACCCCCAGGGTTCCCCAGTCCATACTTTGAGAACCACTCCTCTAGGCGGATGCACATGTGGCTTAATCATCAGCCATGTTTAATTTTCCTCCTGATTTTTGTCTTCTTTTTATCCCATTTGCCTGAAGAGGGGTTCTCAAAATTTAGATGGTGGTAGGCTGTTTTGTAGCCCTGAAGTGGGCTAATAAAAGGCATTGGATGGAAAGGCAAACACAGGCTTCCATCTTTTGCCCACTCAGAGTCTGCGTCTGTGCAATGTAACCTCCTTGGAGTAAGTTTTAGTTGGTTGGTTTAGTCCATGGGTGTGACTTGATAAAGTAATCTTTGCCTACAGAGAAGGAGGGAGAAATTTTGTGTAACAGGATGAGGGGTGCGTTATGGATCTGGGGAGAAGCACTATTTGATAGACCTTGTTTAAAAGTGCTGCTAAACTGGAAGTTTTCTGGCAGAGATGAACCGCCGGCAGAAAATAAAAAATCCTATCTTGTTCATCTGAATTTTGTCGCTGGCAAGGAAAGAGAGAAACGGGAGGGATTGGGAACTGAAATGTGTTCTCGTGCCTGCCGCATGCAACAGCTAGGTTCTCGGTTTCAAACACAGACAGACAAAGCAAAAGTTAATGATTACAAAGTCTCCTTTGCAAATTCAGCTCTTGCAAGTCCTAAACTCAGCGTTACATCTACGCTTTACACACGCACACGGGTGCAGAAGGAACGTACAAAAATGGAGGGCAAAATCACAGCCTGAACTGTTTTGCTTCAAGACTCACAGCTTGTATTTTCTATAAAACTGGTATAGGTAGACTTTTAAAATCCTCCATTCTATTGGTGGGCAGAGAAAAGGTGGGAAGGATTTCTCCAAGGGAAGGAGGAAATTCCCCAGCTTTGTTCCCCTGAAAAACTACAGGTACACCATTACGGAAAAAGTCCCTGTCAGAAAGTTTCTTCTTGGGATTGAATGGAAACATGGAGAGCCAGGGAGTGTACTCCACCAGAGAGATAAAGATAGGGAATACATACATACATACATACATACATACATACATACATACATACATAAATACATATGATGTTTATCTAGACCAGTGTTTCTCAACCTTGGCAACCTTGAGATGTGTGGACTTCAACTCCCAGAATTCCCCAGCCAGCAGGCTAGC